TTTTCAACAAGAAGGGAAAAAAAATCTGATTATTCCCTGCTCCCCTTTTCTTAGAAGTTAACAACAGGTCAACTTTTTCAGTCAGAATTTCCTGCTTTTGACTAGAAGTTGAGTTCTTTATTTCTGACAGCAGGTGTCACAATTGCCCAACAAAAGAAAAGTGTGGGTGTGCTTCTTAATTCAAAAGAGAAAGACACCTCTAACTATAGTTTTAAGATACACCCAACCACACCCCTAACACATGCACATTGTTGTGGTAGAATGGTTAGCGACCATGCACAGAGACCTGGGTTTGATACTTAGCACTGGAAAAAATTGTTCTCAAGGGAGAACAATCCTATTCCTACTGTGTACAAATAGCTGGGCAAGGAAAAGTGCTTTGGTATATTCCACACATATTTGTTACTTATTCTATACCTCAGTTTATCCAATGAAAGAAATGTTTAATCCAAAATTCATAAAATTAATTTATGGTTAAGAAGCAAAAAATATTTCAATTATTCACTAGTAACAGATGTGAGAGGTATCTCCCAAAACACACCACCTCCCCAGGTGAAGGAGCTGAAAGATCCAATCTAAAAATATTGAAACAGTGAGATGGAATTGAAGTCTGAGCAACATTTGGAATGTGAAGCAGAGGGGATGATGTTCATGACAGTCTGTTGCTGGGAGAAGGATGCTATGTGGGCCCAGATAGTCACTGCATATCAAGACTTGGGACGGACAGGACTCCCTTGCATGGATCAGGTGGGAAAGGTTAAGTATGGATTCTGTCTTAGTTAGGGTTTCCATTGCTGCAAACAGACACCATGACCAAGGCAACTCTTATAAGGACAACATTTAATTGGGGCTGGCCTACAGGTTCAGAGGTTTAGACCACTATCATCAAGGCAGGAGCATGGCAGCATCCAGTCGAGCATGCTGTAGAAGGAGCTGAGTGTTTTACATCTTGTTCTGAAGGCAAACAGGAGAAGACTGGCTTCCAGACAGCTAGGATGCAGAGCTTAAACCCCATAGTGACACATCTACTCCAACAAGGCCACACCTCCTAACAGTGTCACTCCCTGGGCCCATAGGCTTGTTCAAACATATGAGTCTATGGGGCCATGGCTAGCCATAGCATAATAAAAATGTACATTTAATTCAACTTTAAAAGTCACCATAGTCTATATCAGTCTCAACAATGTTAAAAGTCCAAAGTTCAAAGACTCTTCTGAGACTCATTCAATCACTTGACTGCAATCCCCAAAGCAAGACAGGAGACCAATCAGGCAAGCTCTAAACTCTGCATCTCTATGTCTGATGTCAAAGTGGTCTTCAGATCTCAAACTTCCTTTTCAACTTTGCAGAAGTTTGACTACAACAAACTTCTTTTTCCTGGGCTGATTCTGTTCCCTGTTAGCAGCTTTCCTCAGCAGATATCTCATGGCTCTGGCATCTCAAACATCTTTGGGTTACAGCTTCTTGTTCCAATGTCTGAGATCCATGCATGATCTTCTGGGCTCCTCCAAAGTGCTTGGGTCACATCTCCAGCTCTGCCCTCTGTAGCACTTGGGGCTCTGGTTGACTCCACTGCTGCTGCTGCTGATACTAGTGATCATCCTATGGTACTGACATCTCCAATATTCTGTTATTCCTCTTTTAGCCTGTGGGCTTAAAGGCATTAGAAGCCCAAAATGAACAGCAGGAATTCTGAGCTTCCAGTTTAATGGAATGTTTGTTGTGTCTCCAGCAGGAGCACTGCCCCTCTGGAACCGAAACTTCTAGGTTAGCAGAACTTAGGGTTGTGGGAACAGGAAGCAAAAACTTTCCTAGTATGTCACTAGGAGTGATAATAATTGGAACTATTCCCTTTTCCACCGCTGGATTCCTGGACCCATGGATCCTTCCTGGCTATAGGAGAAACTGTACCATTTACTGGATGCTGATTCAAAGCATATGTTGCCTTCTGAAGAACCCAGCCCCAGCCCTCCATTTCTGGATTATAGTTCATTCCAGATGTGATCAAGTTGACAACCATGAATACCCATCACAGCTTCACTGACAAGAAATGCTTTTAGATGTCATGGTACCCAAATAACATAACTAGTCATCAGAGCAACTGGCAGAACCAATAAGGTCAGGAGAGAGGCACATAATAAAGAGAAGGGCCAGAAACAGTTTCTTACACACATTTTGACCATACACCAAGAGGATTCAAAGGAAACGGGCTACTTAATCTTTCAACAACATTTCTGGAAATATGGCTATGTGTGTGGAAAACAATGAACATCAGGCTTTAACTGACACAACACATGGACATTTATCTGAAATGTGTCACAGACTCCAGTATAAAATGAAAAGAATGCGATTTCTGGAAGAAACAGCAACAGAAAGTCTTGTTGGCATTGGGGAGTAAAGCTTCCCTGGTTCAGGACAAGCACAAATGGGGGGGGGCAACTAATCAGATTTCATTAATGTAAAAATCTGTAAACCTTCAAAAGGTAGCATTAAGAAAATGGAAAGGTACGTCTCACCCTGGGGCAGCTCACCTGCCTGCATGCATGTATCTGATTTGTCTGAAATACTGGGGTCTGTATTTGAGGCAAAGAACCTGTGTCTAGAACACTAGTCAGCAGTCTACAGTAAGTTCACAGATGGGTGGAAGGGAAAGCCATGATCAAAGACACTATCTACAGAAGAAAAGGAAAGGAAAGGAAAAGAAAAAAAAGACCCCTTCCCTCTCCCTCCTTCCTCCTTCTCACTTGAAAAAAAAAGACTATTTTTTTAATGAGGGTTTTGCTTGCATATATGTATGTGTGCCACATGTTACCTGGTTTCCTGCCCACAGAAGCCATAAGAAGGCATTGGACCTCATGGAGCTGGCATTAGTGGCCATTTGGAAGGCACTGTGTGAGTGATGGGAATGTAATTTGGGTTCTGTGCAAAAGCAGCAAGTGTCTTAATTACTTAACTATCTCTTCACAACCGTCTTACCCCACACATATCTTGCTGTTTAGAATGTTGATTAGAATATACTAGATGTTTTTGTAGCCCAGTGTGGTTTTGAACTTGTGATACTCTTATCCTGAGTTGTTTGGCTTCAGACTGAGGTTGAAGGAATATGGACAACATAATTAGTTGCTTTCCCTTCATTGAAAGACTGGAGAAGAGTGTGAATGAAGTTGATCAGTCCCTAGTTAGACTCATTTTCATTCTCAGAGTAGAAGACAGTGCCACTTTGACAGTGCTTGCTCTATAACTAAATCAGGAGGTCCCATGGAGTAGAAATCCCCCTTACACAGCTCAGCAGATATTCTTTCTTCTGTCTGGCAGTGTTTGGCAGGGAATACACAAAGGCCTGATATTTTGGGGAGGAAATCTGGTCAAGTCTCTCCACAGGAAGTGATATGCTCTCTGAAATTTTGTCCAGATGTTCATTTCCTCTAATCCACTCTTTCCAACTCTTTTAATATTTATATACAATATTTGACCCTTTCCTTTCACACTCTGAGTTTAGAACAGAACAAACAAATATTACAAGACTGTCAGTTTTGTGTTTTCTGAGCTGGGCTCTACTTTCTGCTGTTCAATCAATCATTCAGTCTCCCTTCTGTGGAGCTTAATATCTCTGTATACTTAAGAACATTTAAACAATTACCATTATACACTCTTCTAACTTAAAAACAATTAAATTGAATTTTATTTATCCCTACACTTTGATTATTTGCTAGTAGAAAGCAGTCTGTGTCTACCATCAGATTCATCTTAAGCTCTTTGTATCAGTTCTGAACCACAGGAAGAAATCTCCACATGTCTCAGGCAAGATCTGTATTCCCTTCTATCCTTAAAAACAATTAAATCAAAATTTAAAAATCTATCCTTTGATTACTTGTAGGAAGCAGGTAGCTTTTGTTGTTTGTCTCTCATTGCCTTAGAACAGCTAGCCTGTTTCTTTGCATAGCAGAAGCTTCCAGTGTCTCTAAGCTGAGGTTCTCCCTGTGTTCCTTTATTTAAATTTTCATGCCCCGGAGCTCTGGGAATGGGCCATACTACCAGTTCCTGCCCAGAGAGTATTAGATCCACGGATGAAAAACATAGACACACACTGCTCAATTTAAATCTGCCTTATTGGCTCAATTGCTAGGCTCTTCTAAGCCTTCCTTGCCTAGTGTGCCCTTCCCAACACTCTTAGCTCTTCACCTCTCAACCTTCCCTAGCTTCAGTTGCTCCCTGACCTTGAGTCCTAGCTCAACACCCTAACCTTCCACCTGGAGAAGTGGCCTGCAGCAGCTCCACTCAAGATCTCACATGGCTGGTCACCTTTTGTCCCTCTGAAGCATGGTGAAAATCTTTTCTTCTCCTTGTGTCTCCTCCCTCTCCTGTAGAGTCCTGGAAGTTCTGCCTGCTTCCTTCTACCCAACAATTGGCCCCTGGCAACTTGATTGATGGATCAAGAACCAATTGGGGAACAGGACCTTAGCATCAGACACAACCCCTATACTCAGCAATGGCTCTCTTAAGAAGTTTATGACCTTAGTAATAACTACCTACCCTAAATAATTTCATAGAAAATATTACATTGTTGATTTGATCACATGTCAATTGTGTGCTTTCTTTTTAACATCCTAATACCTATCTTCATTTTCTATTAAAATAGATGGGGAAGCCCATAAGGCCTCAATCCTACAGAAAAAAATATAGGCAATTGAGTAAAGCTGGGGATGTGAAAGGTGGCCCCACCCAGGAAAGAGCATACCAATTGGCTGTGCAGTGCCAAACAGTCAGTCCTGAAAATATACATACAAGAAACATAATATAGATTCAGCATGTTATATATAGTAATGTATGTGCACACAAATGCACATATGCATGCAATAATAATTGATGAAAGTAAAAGAGACCACAGATTTGAAGAAAAGTGAGGAGAGAGATCTAGGAAAGTTTGAAGAGAGGAAAGGGAGAGTAAAGATATTGTAATTTAGGTATAATATAAAAAATAAACAACAACAACATCAAAGTGAGCCTTTTCATAATAAAGTTTATTTAACAGGAAATTAAGTCCAGCAACATTTTAGGACTTAGAGTTTAAAACCATTTGGGACTAAGTGTGGCCCTTTTATGAAAATATCCTGTCTTGACTTTGCATGCTATTGGGTAGAATTGGTAAGGATTTTCCTACTTTACCCCTTTCCTGCTGCCCACATTTTTTTAGAGTGAGACATAACTGATGCAGAATAGTTTTAAGGTGAATAATAATCAGGAATTTCACACACACACACACACACACACACACACACACGTTTGAAAATACATATTTTTAATATCCACACGGAAATTATTATTTTTATTGATAGCATGGTTTATTAAAAACAACAATGAATGAAACCTTACTTTTCCATTTCCACTAAGAAACAAACAACACAAAAATAATTCTTTTACATGGTAGCAAGAGAAAGGTGTGAGAAACTCTATTTGCTCAAATGAAAAGTGTTTGAATGTGACCAATATTCCTATGAAACAGAAAATCAGGGATGCTTAAAGGATGTTAAGACAAATTGGTGCCAAGAAACAGCAAGGGCTCTGTTTTTTCTGCTAGCTCCCTCCCTCAGCAGGTGGCGTGCTTTGATTCCTACACCACAGGAACAAAGAGATTTAGGGTTAAATTACTTGTCATTTTGCAATTTAGAACTAACTCAACAATTCTGTGGAGTATGTTGATGAATTTCAGCAAAGGTTCATCTATTTTGTTCTCCAAAGAGTGAAACTAAAACCACTCCTTCAGGTTCCTCCCATTCACACTACAGATAAGACCTGAATGAACAAGCAGCATCTCTGAATGTGTCTATTTACCTGTGACTGGACTAGTAGAAACACATAAAGTAGAATGGAAAGAGAAAAGCAAAGATCTTCCTTCAGTGTCCACCAGGATTTGACTCCAAGACCACACAGATACCCAAATCTCTGGACTAACGGTCCTTTTTAGAACTGGAGTATATTTGCATACAACTACTAAAATTCTTCTAAGTTATCTTGTCATCTTGAGACTACTTCCAACACTTAATCTACAAAAATGCTACACAAATAGCTGACATACTCTATTATTTAGGAAATAATGAGAAGAAAATGTCTACATATTCACTACAGATATAAATGTATTTTGGGGATATTATTGTTCAGTGATTGAATTCATGGCTTCACAGAGAACATGGCACATAGAGAGAGGTCTGTCTGTATAGATGCAAAAAGTGAAGCTAGGCAGGCTTACTGGTGGAGGCAGGTTCTGGACTTCTGCCCTGGCAAAGTAGCTTCTCTGTGAATTAGACACTGGATCATTCTCTAATCAAAGAAAATCAAAACACCAGAAACAAATGGTTATTATGTTGATAAAACATTATGGGCTGTCACAAATGAAAATTGATATAGACATGCAGTCACACACATGCAGTCACACACATCAGTAGTTCCACTGAACAAGAAGGAAAGGAATTCAGTAACTTGTCTTAAATCCCACAGTAGTTTTGCAGAATTAAGACTAGAATTTAAATGTCCTGAGTCCAAGTTCTTCCAATGATATTGAACTGCCTGTTTTACACAGAAAACAGGATAGTTACCTATCATTCCAGCCCTCCAAGGAACTAAGATTTTTGTTCTGGTTTTTATTTTTTATATACTCTGCTTCTGGTCTTGGCATGATTTTCAGAATTTTCTGCAAAGTGGACCTACATTGTAGTTCAGTGAAGTGGTCAACACTGCTTAGTAAATAGATAAGGAGTCTCCCCTTTCCTCTGACCTTGCTCCTTTCCTGAGGAAGTGATTCGTGAATGGTGCTGCAGTTAATTATTTTATTTTACTCTCCCTGCAGTTTTAATTCCAGGAAATTTATAGAATAACTCATTCCCCATCACGTCTCCTGAATCCCAGCTTTCTGACATTGGTTATTATTATAGACTTTATATACAGAGACCATTTTACACTCAAACAAAACTTTAATCCCAAATACCAAGCCCTAACCCAAATCACACTGGTCTGTAAAACACTCCCAATACCTGGGCTCTATTCCACTGAGACATTTGTTTGCTTGTTTGTTTGTTTGTTTGTTTTATTTTTTGTTGGATTTTTATTTATTTACAACACAGATGTCATGCCCTTTCCTCATTTCCCCTCCTTAGAACCCCTTATTCCATCCCCTCCTCCTTTGTGCTTTTATACCATTTTAATTACATGCATTTTAAAGAGAATAAAGCTGTTAAATTTTACATTGAGTTCTTAAATACTATTGATTTTCTGACTACCTTGCAAATGATACCTATCATCTTAAGGAGCAATGAATTGTGCTCATCAATCAAGTCTTGTCAAAAATATACTTTAATCCTTTTCATATTAACTTGTTAACTATAGGAAGTTATACCAATTTTAGCACCATTTCCAGGAACCCTACTTTCATAAATAACAGAATATTCCATTTTCTTATATAGGTGTGACTAACCACATAGCCTCAGTTTTGTGTATAATGCATTCTTTCTCCACGAAAAAATTAAGTCATTTAAAAAATGTAAGTGAATCTTATTTTAAGCACATAGTTGAACCCAGTGGGACATCTTTTCAAATCTCAAAGAAAAGTGAGAAGACCTTTGGGGAACAGAGAGAAGATGATGCTTACATGATGTGGTTGGATGCTTCTTCTCTGCAGTCAGGTTGAGATTTCAGTCTACATGTCAGGGGCTCACAGCAAAGATTGGTACATTCCTTCAAAGAATAGACAAAACAATCCCTGTATTTAGTACAAGATAACTGTTAAAATTTCACTTTTAAAGTACAATATTTATTAATTATCTGAGAATTTCATATAATGTATCTTGGCTGCATATATATATAATATATATATATATTTGAGACAAGTTCGCTCCACGTGGCCCAGCCTATCCTAGAACATCTTATGTAGATTTAACTAGCCTTAAACTTGCAGATCTGCCTGCCTGTGCATCCTGAGTATTACCATTTCTGGCTTTCGTCTACTTTTAGAAACCTATGTAAACTTAGGTGTGGAGCCATCCACTGCAATGTAACCAAATGTTATGGAGATAACCAACTGCTTTCTAACTGGACTCAGCTGGAAACTCATGCCTGGGCACTGGTAACCTAGCCAAGAATCCATGGCCAAGGAGGTTACAGGATCCAGGGTTAAAAGTAACTATTATCCCGCTAACTAGACAATAATTGAATTGCCCTCTAAAGTCACATTTTTATACCTAGAGATTAGTGAAGTTCTCGAGCCTCATCAGAAAAGTTTCCCATTTTCAGACTATTTACTCTCTTGCACCAATTCCAGTGAAAATAACCAGGGAAAGTCAATAATGGGAAGAAATGCTGTGCTCAGTGAACATTATCTTGAAAGACCAAGGGGTGGAGGTCACAAATAATTTTTTTCAAGTAAATTTTGCTTAGAGGGTATTATATTTTAATGTGTCAAAATTTTCAAGGATGAACTTTTTTAGCTACCCAAATTATGTGAAAGTAGAGAAAAAATAAAGTTAAAATTTGGTTTTTTTTGAACTAAACCTGGCTAATAATGTTATTGAAATGTGTAATGATCACATTCACATACACACACATGGGCACACACACACACACACATACACACACACACACACACACACATAAATGTACACACGTAAAATGCACTATATCTTTTAAACTCAAGTTTATCAATATAATAACTACTTCATCTGTGTGAGTTTTCTTAGTCCAAAATACAAGGGTTCCTGATCATACAAATAAAAGAAATGGAATCCATCAAATTAAGGGACTTAAAGGAGAAACAGGTACTGACATTTTGGTAAGTAGCAAAATTAGCAGATAATTTTGGCATCCAAAATTGAGGTGTTAAAACATGATTTTGCACACATATACATTGTGGATAAATGATAGACCATTATCATTAATAAATATAGACAACGAATAGCCAAAACCACATCCAATAATAAAATCCAATATGAAAGACACAGCAAAAATTCTTCATAATGTTTGTTTTATGGAAAATTTAATAAATACCAAGACATAGAAAAGATATGAAGATATAATAACCAAAATGTATAAACCGTATTTTCATTGGGTGTGAGATATAATTCCCTACATAAAAAATTGAGGTCAATAATTAAAAATATTTGACAAATCAGTAAGATAATTGTTCATAACAATAATAAAATGACATCAATGGTAATATCAAGGAATTATAACCTACACCAGAAAGAAAAATCTTAAATGCCAAAAAATATGAAAATACTTCAAACTAAGCAATCAAATTCTGACAAAACTACATTAAAACTATGATACACAATTCAAACTTCTGAATAAATGCACCGAGACACTGAAACCTAAGATTCTTTATACACTGTCAGACAGCTGTCAAACATAAAGGGTAAATCACAACTTTCACTTGTGTTCACCAGTTATGAGCTCTGGTCTCTGAACTGAATTCTTTGGGTTTTATGAGCTTTATTTTTCTAATTAAGGATAATGGAAGTCTCTAATTTGTGGATTTGTTTTGCATAACAAATGACATGTAGTCTATGGAGTATTTTACAGAATGTCTCATTTAAATCTCTTTTGGCATGAATGTCTTTTTAGATCTTAAAAGTAACATAAGATCACAAAGTAGAATCCTCTAGAAGCCACACATGGTGGTATATGCCTGTAATTCTAGCACTCATGAGGCTGAGACAGGGGGAAAGTGCACTGGAGGCCATCCTGGATTAAAATGTAAAACTCTGTCTCAGAAAAAGGAAGAAATAAACAGGAAATTATGGGCATCATTCCGAGGTATTCATTGATGCAGCAGCTGCCTTGAAATTATATAAACATTAGTGAAATCAAAATAGCCGTCACCCTAGAGCTGTGGTTCCCAACCTTCCTAATGCTGAGACCCTTTACTACAGTTTCTCACATTGTATTGACCCCCAACCATAAAATTATTTTTGTTATTTCATAACTGTAGTTAGCTACTGTTATGAATCATAATGGAAATATATGTGATTTCCAATGGTCTTAGGTGACCCCTGCAAAAGGGTCATTCAACTCTAAACTCATCCCGACCCACAGGTTGAGAACCAGTGTTTTAGATGGTCTGTGCTAGGAATCTGTACACTATAGGTTCATGCAATTTTAAAATCTCCTTTTTGTATTATCACCTCCCTGTGTCACATGTTGATTTTGTGAAAAAAGAGAAGATCCCATGAGGAGGCATTCCAAATAGCTATGTGACTGACTGTTCAACACATGATTGACTGTGGCCTCAAACTTAGGCATTTCTGAATCCTATGTCTACAAGGAATGTGGCATGCTATGGGTAATGGCTCACTTCTTTACATTTGGCTTTGTACTATTATGTCATGAACAGATTCTATTGTTTTTCTTTTTAAGTGCTATTCATAGGATGGTTAACTAGAATCAAAAGCAAAACACAAAACAACAATAAATCTATGTCACTCTATGATAATGGTACCATTTTTTCTCCGGAACAAATTTCTAAAATAGCACTACAAAAAGAAAAGGGGGCTACAGAGATGGCTCAGCAGCTAAGAGCACATGCTGCATAATCTTGAGGATGAGGGCTCAGATCTCAGAACACATATTTGCCAGTTCAAACCCACCTGTATCTCCAGTTTCAAGGAATCTGATACCCTCTCCTGGTCTCCAAGGTGTACATATAAACACACACACACACACACAGAGAGACACACACACACACACACATACAAGTAAAACATAAAAAATCTTTTAAAAAAGAAAATGAAAAAAAATAAAGTATGTAATTTTTAACCCAAGTAGCTCTGTTTTAAAATCTTAATAAATACAACTTTAAACCTCATGTATTTTCATACCTCAGGAGATCCACAGTCGCAGCCTTCTCCTGTGTCCAGAAGTTGATTTCCACATGATGGTTTTATTATGTTTTTAGGGTCAGGTGCCAGCAGCAGACACCTTACATTTCTAGATGAAAGGAATCCTTGAAAATAGGTGCGGCTGATGGTACTGAAATCCTTGGGGAATTTTGAACTGTAACAGAAAAAATAGAATATCATGATATGCAGTATAGAAGCTTGTGGGTAATAAACAAACAGAAGATTCTAGTGTTTTCTCACTGTGGGACTCAATTCAGTGGAAACTACAACATCCAGGACATCTCTATGCTCCTACAGTTAGGTGGTGAAGCATGCATAGTAATCTAATTGAATGTTTTCTCCTAGCAATCCAGAAGAAAATAGGAAAGAACACTGTAAATTGTTCTAGCTTCATTTCTGTGATAAAATACCTTGACACAAAGCAATTTAGAAGATAAATAAGAAGGCAAAACTGCTAGTCGTATCACATCCAGTCAACAGCAAAGAGAAATGGATGCACGCATGCTCACTTGCTTGCTTTTGTTCAGCTCTCTTTATCTATATTTATATACTTCAAGACCCTTATCCTAAGGAGTAGTGTCACCCAAAGTCAGTTGGGTCTTCCATATTAATCCCCAAGACAATCCCCCACATGACGCCCAATGCAGACAATTTATCACCGAGAATCTTTCCCCAGATTATTCTAGATTGTGTGAGGTTAATAATTAAAGCTAAACCATCACAGTAGTTCAAGGCTACCCAAAGCAACAAGAGAGATTAGTGTTACCACTGTTACCATCTACTTATCCCACACTGAGGGGTAAGCGGTAAGAGACAGCAATCATGATCTAGTTAAAGGAAATAAATGGAGATTCTCATGGTCCATGGGTAAACTTCTCATCTGTGAGCACCTCAAGAACAAAACACACTATATTCATTTGTATATCCCCAGGCTTGGTAAAGTAGCTGGCATTACCAGATAATAAACGACTCTGCTAGAATAGATTGTTCTGTTGGTGATGGGGATAAAGATATGCTTATCTTGGGTATTTTTTAGTAAAACTATCATCTTAATCAGGCTGGTATTCTTTTAGGAAAATATGGTATCACTTTAAATTAAAATAACCCTAAGTTAAAATGATATAGTAGTCCTCATAATAAACTCTGTGGTTGGGTATTCAGAAATCCTAACAAATGAGTCTTGAATTTGGTAAAAATATGTCCATGAAGAAGCTAGAAGTTGAGTTACTATGATACCCATCCTTTGGAAGAAGATGTTCCTCCCACACATGCACAGATCATTTAAACTATTTAGGAATGGTGACTTTTCTCCTTACTTTGAGATCGTACCATCTTACCTCAGGTACTGATTCATCACACAGCTGCCAGAGGGACATTTGGTATAATATGGAACATCCTTCATACCAAGGGCGTGACCCAACTCATGTGACATCAGTGCAACGAGAGCCACTTTATTCTTTCTTTTAGCCTAGAAAAAAAAATAGAAGCATCTGTTAATTCTTATTTTATTCAGTTATTTCTCAGTTATTTTCAAATCATAATGTCTAATACGAATAACTTGAGAGAAGAAGAATAGTGTATCTTTCTGACATTGAATATTTTTCTGACATTGCTTCTTGCCTGGTGGGCCTGATATGATTGACTCTTATGAATGCAAGCACTGGGTCTGTGTTCAAGCTCAGTCAATGACAAAGGAGCTACTAGACCCTGAATTCTCAGTAAACCAGGCTTAGATTAGATGCATTCTCTATGGAAAGTGCTATTAGGTGCCATGGTATAAACTCACATCCACAAAATTGTAGTTGTGATTCTTATGCCATTGATAACAATGGGCACAAGATGCCTGTCATGCACACTTAGCTATCTGAGGCCATGAAGGTAATCTGATTCCCCTTTCTATGAAACACATGGTCCTTATTCTTTAATATGAACTGAAGTATGAGTCCTTTACCAGGCTAATATTCACAGTCCAAGGACTCTTCAGAGAACTGTTCAATAATGGTTTCATTTCTACTCTGATTTATCAATTCAGTTGATGGTCACGGTGATTATTGTGGTATACTATATTATGCCCATCTTCATAGAGGTAGAGTTGCAGGATGTCTTAGTAGAAGTATACAAACCTCAATTACAGACACTGAAGATGTAGTACACATGGAATTCGCAGCTGCCATTCCTACACGTCCATGGCTGAAGCTAGCTCCACTGTGTGAAAGGTAGAGAGACCCCATCACAATCTGACTCTGAAACCAATAGGTTTGGGTAATAATGTCATAGACTTCCTTTGGTGTCTCCTAGCCTTCTGTATGTTCATGAGTCCCTAGGACAGCTTCTGTAATATTACAGCCTCATAATTATAGGTGGATATTCTGTATCCAAGTATTGTTTTATTGATCTTATATGGACCTTCAAATACTTCAAGGCCCAATTGCTAATGATAGGAACATCAGGCCACTCACAACTTACTGAGAGATATAACTGAACAGAAATTCTTGTCAAGAAACCCTGGAGATAACCATAGACTCTGCCTGTGTGTCCCCACCCTGGCAAGAATGGATTCACCTGAGAAGCTGTGCATGGTTATGGATTCTTTCTCCCAGGTTAGAATAATGCCATCTCATGAAGTTTGTGAATGTGGCACCAAGGTTGGGTTCCACCTTTATCTTATCACGGTCGGACCAGATCTCCATGCCCACCAAAGACACTTGAATATCTATGGTTTTATAAATCTGTGGAGAGAATGTTTTTCATGAAAACACCCAGGATGCCTTTTAGTGTTCTTGTTGACCACAAGTGATAGATAAAGGGATGTAATACTCACCATAAGTTTCCATATTGAAAACAGAAATTATAGAAGAAAACTTTGTTACTGTGTATGACTTTTGTTTGGATGGGGTCTTGCTCTTAGGTGATTCCTAGCCCTTTACAGTGGAAGCCACAGGGAATCCCCAAGCACAGGCATGGAAACACACACAGGACAAATGCCTTACCTCATTGAGCAGATTCAGCACCTCGAACACAAAGCTTCTCATCTGAGGCACATTTCCTTTGTACAATTTATACTGAAAATTACAAAATATAGTATTACAGTATTAAAATAGAAAATTGAAATGAGAAGGCTTATGGGTACGGGATTAAAGAGAAAATCCACATGCTGTAACATAGTTAACATCTATTCAATCCATGACTACCTCATATCTTCTATTTCAACAAATTCTACTTAAAATAGAGGTTTTGATAAGATAAGAATTAAGAATTCACGAGAAATTACAGTGTCCTCCATCTTTCTCTTTGCTTTTGGTTTAGTTTGGTATGAGGTAGATTCCCTCTCTGTAGTCAGGATGCTATCAAACTTATGACCTTTCTGCTTCATATTATCCAAACTGGGACTACAGGATTAGAACTGGGTTTTTTATTCATCTTTAAGTTGAATACTTCAGCTTAATGGTTTAAATATTTTGCACCAACTCAATTAATTTGGGTTTGGATATGAAGCAATATAAGTTCTAGCTTCTCTATATTTATATAGAGTTCTGTGTTCATATTTACATAAAACCTATTAAATTGATATTTATATTTTATGGTAAAATATTAAAACAATCTAACACTATATTAAAATACTTCTCTTTAAATTTTTTATGGTTGATTGGTTACTGGTATATGATGGTTAGTTTTTGTTGACTTGACACAATATAGAATCACCTAAGAAGAATCATTATTGAAGAAGAGCCTTCATCAGATTGGCCTGGTAGCATCTCTGTGGAAAATTTTATTGATTGTTTTTTGATGTGGGAGGGTCCAGTCCACTGTGGCCTACACCAGCCCTAGGCAGTTGAACGTGAGCTGTATAAGCAATGTAGCTGAGCAAGTCAGGGAAGCAAGCCAATAGTAGCACTCCTGCATGGCCTCTATTTACATTCTTGCCTTAAGTTTCTGCCTTAGCTTCTCTCAACACTGAACTGCAGCTTACAATCCATATAAACCCTTCCATCCCCAAGTTTCTTTGGTCATGCTGTTTATCAGAGCAACAGAAGCAAACTAGAACATAGCTATATGGTATTAAGTATATTGCCATTATATAAATATTTGATAATTGGTGGATAATAAATGGATGGCATGAGTGAACACTGTTGTCAAACAAGCAACCAAAGCAGCCAGGAAATCTAGTTGAACAAAAACTCATTGTTAAGTAAAAAGGCTTACTTTTTTTTTTTTTTACTTTTAAGTTAACTTATAAGTTGAAAGAACTAAGTAAGAGGTAGCCATGGTTCATACTCACATAGGCATTATCCAGCACCAAAAAGAGACCAATGTACTTCTGTCCTTGAAGTAAGTTTTCCTGTTTTACAAATAACAAGAGAACCTCATTAATACTCATCTCTACTCACAATGATTCAGATACTTACAATTTTTCTTCTAAAATATATAAAAGAGTAATTTAATAGAGGTTTTTTTTTTTTTACAGACTAGCTAGCCATTTCAGAACACACTTTGTGTCTCAGATCCTTGTTTAGACAACCAAAATACATAGTCTGAAAAAAAAAAACTATACTTACATTTGGGTTTTTGAGTGACCTGGAAGTTCGAAGATGGCTTCGTTTCCTGACAACTTGCTTCTCACCATCCCTGAAATTTGCTGTGTTTGGTTCCTCCAAGCTATATGGAAGAACAGCATGTTCTCCCTCATCAGTGCTTTGTAGAGGCTTTATTTGATATCTCTGATCACGATGTGTGAAGTACCCTCTGTGGGATATGAGATTTTGTATTAGGATGCCCTGACATATCCCTTCATACATTCCACTCAGAATGGAGTGGTATTCTCCCTCCATTCCAGTTTCACATAGATTTTTCAGTCAAAGACTCTGTGACCAACACCTAATTATTCTAGGTATATCCATTATTTGCCCAATACTGAAATGAAAGTAAAAAATTAACAAATGGGACCTCATGAAACTGAAAATCTTCTGTACAGCAAAGGAGACCATCATTCATTTGTACAAAGCAGCAGCCTACAGAATGGGAAAAGATTTTTACCAACTCCACATCCAATAAAGAGGATAATATCTAAAATGTATAAAGAACTAAAAAAATCTTAGATATCAAGAAAACAACAACAAGCTCTGTATGATACTATTCAAATTGTTGGAGAGGAGGTTCAGAGTTTAAAAGTAAGGAGCCATCTCGAGTGCCATGCCAAATACCAATAGATTTGTTTTACCTCTAAAATTTACAATGACAGTCACTATAATTGGGAAAAAGTTCAAAGACACTTGCAGGGTATTCAACATAATTCTAACACATCTCTGGATGTTTTAACTTTGCATAGTGAGATTATGAATATAAAGAATACTGCTCTGCTGAGCTTTGCTGCAAACTGATAAAATTATCCATGGCCTGAGGTCAATATTTCCATCTTGGTCAGTCTTCAAGAATAGCAGCTACAACTTGATCATGTTAGCCCTTCTTGTCCTGGGAATACTTTTATTCCTGCCTATTGTGTTAAAGTTTGCCTTTAACAACATCAACATGTTGGTGGCCAAAGTACATGACTTGAAACTAAAAATGGACCCCTAGACAGAGTTCTTAATTTAACAGGCTGGCAAGCCAAGGACAGGTAAGACTCTGCACAGAGCTTTACCAATCTAAGACAGAAGTGTATTGCTTTTGATAATGCATATTCTGCAATGGGTAAGGAAGGCATTCTTGTCAGAATGTCTTAAGATGGGTTCAGTCTCATTTATGAAATAAAAAAAGGGGGGGGGATGTGGAGAGCTTTGGGGACTGCTTGGCAGGAATATGACATTGGCCAAGGACTAGAAAATGGGCTTCAGTCAAGAATCTGACATTGGGCCATGCAAGGAAGTAATTTCAGGCAGGAATCTAAATCTTAGACTAGAACAAAGAAGTAGGTTTCAGGCCTACTGGGACAGGGAAGTAGGCTCAGATATCTTGATCATCCTGATTAGCACCTTAGAAACAGTGACCACGGTAGTGATCACAGGACTTTGTTTATTACCTTGCTTGTTGTTCCTTGACTATTTGCATCTATTGTATTGTTTATTCCTTAACCTTGACCTTAACTGACCTTAATACTTGCATGTAATTAAAATGGTATAAAAGCAGATTGGGAAAAAAAAAGAAAAACAAAACATAAAACAAACAAAACAAACATCAGAAAAAAATATCACCACCACTCTAGCAAAAATATCACCACTTTCATATGTCTCTCTACATGATAGACATATGAAAATGGATAATGAAGTGCATTATTTTATAGGATGAATATTTAGCAAGAATATAAAGAAATAAATAAATGAAATGAAAAAGAAAACAACAACAAACAATTAAAAAATAGGGTACAGGTTTAAACAGATACTTCTCAAAATGAGAAAATCAAATGGCTGAGAAAGACTTAAAGACATATTCACACTCCTTAGCCATCAGGGAAATTGGAGTTTACTTTGAGACTTAATCTTACATTTTTCAGAATGGATAAGAGCAATGAAACAAGTGACAGTCTTCATTGGTGAAGAGTAAGAGGAATATTAATTCTTTGCTGGCTGGAGTACAAACTTGTACAGCCACTTTTGAAATTAGTGTGATAGTTCCTCAGAAAGATAAGAATCTTTCTTAATCTACATTTACCACACAGACACCTGCTCAACTGTATTCATTGTTATTCTATTCATAATAGTCAGAAACTGAAAACAACCCAGATGTCTCTTAACAGATGAATAAATTTAAAATATGCTACATTTACACAATGGAAAATTGTTTAGCTGTTTTAAAATGGCATAATGAAATTCACAGGTAAATGGATGGAACTAGAAAAAAATATCATCCTGAGTAAGGTAGCCCAGACCCAGAAATATATGTATTGCTTATATATAGATATTAGCTGTTAAGTCAATGACAATCAAGCTACAATCTGTAGAACCACAGAGGTTAGGTACAGAGCCTATACCACCAGGGGGTGCAGATAGAACTTCTAGGAAAGGAAAATAGAATAGATAGTTATGGATGGATTACTACACACACACATACACACACACACACACACACACACATATGAATGAAGGGGATCTAAATGAAATCACCAAATAATTGGAGAAAGAGAGCCCAAATTGGCCATCTCTTGTCACCCATTGAAGCTTTCCAAGTATTGGGTTGCATAAAATTGAATTGTTGGTCAAAAAATGTCTATTGCAACTCTTAAGTAATCCAGGCTGTTGCCATGGATATATATTGATCCCCACAAACTGACATCAAGGCCCCATTGTTGAAGACAATACCTACACAACACATTGAACGTAGAGACTGGTACTCCATAGCGCCTTTACCCCTAAGGACTGTCATCTTTGATACAGGAAGTTACTCTACATGCTAACAAGAGAAATGTAAACATCAACCTAGCCACAAACCTTTTGATTTATGATGCAGTTCTGTCTGTCAGATATGCTAAGGCAATGGGTGCCACAAATCTTATGGGAGTAACCATCTGATCTGACGTAAGATCTACTCCATGAGACATTGCTTAGGTGACCAGGAACCTGAGACTAGATAGCTTAGAGACCTAAAGTACAACCAAAACCTGTTTAAGCATGCAAGCAAACAAAACCCCCAAACACATGTAACTACAAAATGACTCTTAATGACATTGTGCTATTCTCATAGATCAGTGTTTTGCTCAGTCGTCATCTGAGAAACTCCTTTCTGCAATAGATGGGAACAAATAGAGACCCACAGCCAGACATTATGCAAAGAGTGGAATAATCATTCATAAACTGAATGTCTTGGTCAAATCCCCTCTACTTGGGGCTCTAAGAACCCCGAGGAAGAAGAGGCAGAGACAGTGAAAGAGTCAGAGGGGATGGAGGGCACCAATCAATCAAGGTCCTCTGAATCAGCAGGACCAATGCTCATATGAACTCACTGAGACTGGGGCAGCATGCACAGGCCCAACATCGGTCTGTACCAGATAAGGTCCTAGAGCTGAAAGAAATAGACATATGTCCCCATCCCTAACACAGAAGCCATATTCTTCATTAACCACTTGGAAATGAAATTTTAGTTTTCTCCAAAGGAGTGTCACTATTCATAAGGGCAGGCTGCATGCCCAGCAATAGATGGACAACAGAAATGAACTCAACAGTGTCATTCCAGGTTCTTTGTCTCATGATATCCTTTTAGGGTTTTTTTTTTTTGTTTGTTTTAAAGTTTGTCTTCTTTTTATTTTATTATTTTTCTCTCTTTTTACCTTACGTGCCTTTTGAATATATATTATGTCTTTCAGTTTAGTGTTTTTATGAAATTCTTGAAGTGTGCAGATGAGTGGGTCTCTGTATCTGTTTCTGTGTCTGTATCATCTGCATCTGTATCTGCATCATCTCTAACTTTTATCATCTGTATCTGTATCAGTATCATCTGTATCTGTATCTGTATCTGTATCTGTATCTGTATCTGTATCTGTATCTGTATCTGTATCTGTATCTGTATCTGTTTCTTGTGTTTCTTCTTGGGCTGTTTTCCTTCTATTTGTTTGTTTTATCCTATTCTGATGTATTTGTTTTCCTTTTATCATATTATATTATCCTTTAGAAACCTATTTATTTCTAATGAAAGACAAAAAGAGGATGGAATTGGATGAGAGAAGTGGAGCCAGGGAGTCATAATCAATAATTATTATGTGAGGAAAAAAAGCCTATTTTCAACAAAACTGAAAAAAAGGAAAAAAATAAAGCCTATGTCATTTACCCAGAATATTTTTAAGACTAATTAAAATGAAGCAATTCCAAAGAATTTGGAGTTAATACTATGAGCCTATTATGCTAATATTAACACCATGAGTTTATTAGTCCAATATTTTCCAATAGTTTACTTATTCCTTCATTACACATTTCTTGGCAGTTGCTATGACTAGAGTGGAGAATGGAGTAAATGACTAGTCACCCAGAACCCTAGAGAGAACAAAAAAGGTTCATTAGAGCAGCCCGGTAACAAACTAGGACTAAAAGTAGCTTAAAGACTCTTTGTCTCTTAAATCATTTAGTTATGAACTAGAAAGTTACTCCATATATTGAAATATTTAAAGCTAATGTCCTTGGGAGTACTTTTATAATATAGGAAAAGTGAAGTCATGCTAAATATGAACCATGCTAGAATAACAGTTACATATTTTACTTCATATTTTAATCACATGCTAGATAAAAAAGCTATACCTGTGACATATTAGTTAAGAAGATATGACACAGTAGATTGCAGAGGTGAGGTAGATAAACTTGGTAATGGACACATGTCATTGGGGTCATTTACCCCAATTATGAAATGATTGGCAGACCTTCTAGAGTCAGGGTGTAGCTTTGACAAAGCTGGAGCTGACTTCTAGAACAACAGTTAACGAAATGACTTACCATGATAATTTATTCTTCAGTTTAATCTGGCAATTAGCAATGAACAGAAACAACCCAAATAGTAAGAAGACAAAGGGAGACATGAGGAAGACTAAAGGCTGTGTGACAAATGTCCCTTAGCATTTACTACTTCATTTCTCACCTCAACCCATCACAGGTACTGATACTGGCAAAAGAGCCCCTTGCGTTCTGGATGTGGCCTTCGTAGTAGCAGGGTTTCTAAAGTAGAAATACATTGCACTGTTGAAATGCAGACATTATAAATGCATACATGTCATTGGTGAGAATGTATAGGTCATAGTTGTGACAACTACCATCTTGGCTATATAGGTAAGCTCAAGGACTAACCAGGATCTACCAGTCCACAGGAATGAAAATAGAAAGGACATCAGAGGCTTCCTAAACTGCTCCTCAGCTGGCCTTGTGGCTACCACGTCTGAGCTGTTGCCTAACATGCATTTGTATGAAGACAGAATCCAAAAGGTTAATGTTAGTAAGAAGCCATTCTTCTCAGGATTTATAATATGATAGCCAGACCTTCCAGAATCAGACTTAAACTAGCTAGGTTACCTTTCCATTTTACTTGTTATACTAGTGTGTGTGTGTGTGTGTGTGTGTTATTGCATGTTCACTCCTATCTTTGAAAAGATTGCTGTGATTTCTAACCTGTTGTCTCACTGGCCATGTTAAAAGTCATCCTTAGATCTACTCATTTTACAGGGAAATGGCAGATCCCAGGATGAATTCAGAGCGTACCACATCCTGAGAGCGTCTGGTCCTCTCTTCTCCTCTGGGTAGGTAGGATGTTTCAGTGGTGTCTGGCCCCAGAAGATGCCTGTGCAGAGAAGAAAGATGCAAAATGCACTCACAATACCAATAAATACTGGTTTATCTGACATCATCTTCTGTACTGAAGGAATAATTGTGTGTACAGTTGAGACCATGCTGACTGACTTTTGACCATTGAGATTTTCATTAACACAATGCATTTTTACATTCTCTCTCTCTCTCTCTCTCTCTCTCTCTCTCTCTCTCTCTCTCTCTCTCACGCACACACACACACACTGATATACCAAGTAAAATGACAAGCTAAGCCAGCTAGTTTAAACCTGATTCTGGAAGATCTGCCAGTCATATCATAAATCCTGGGAAGAATGGCTTCTCACTAATGTTAGAAGACTGCTTGGAACGTCCTGCTAAAGTAAATCAAAGTGTGCAGTTACACCTTTAATCCCAAAGGGGGATAGTCACACAATTGCTTTTCTCTTGGAGGTTCTGCGTCTTTAAATGTGAATGAGTTGGGCACAGATGAGATTCTATGGAGCAAGGACATGGTCATTGGAGGATGCTGGGTCACAGGTGTGAATACCTGTGAGAACCAATATAAAAACCTTACTGACAGAAAACTTGTGACACTCCTTCACTCTTGTCATAGAATCTATTGCTATGACATGTACTCTGATTCAGACTTAGGGATAAATTCTTGTGTACTTGTATGTGGTTGAAGATGAGTGTGTCTGTGTTTGTACCCAATTCCAAATGTTCCAGCACACACATGGAGATCAGAGGACAAACTTATAAGTCCCATCTTACTTGGGATAGGGTCTTATGTTTGTCTCCTGTCTCACTGTGTAAGACAGGCCAGCTTCTGGAGGTTCTTCTGGTTTTGCCTCTTATCTTGGCATAGAGTCCCTGTGGGTATGATTATGGGAGATTGTCTTGGGTATCTTAATTGATACGGAAAGATCAAGCCTGAAAGTGAACTGCATGACACCATTCCTGGGTTTAGGACCCTGGAGTGCATAAGGATAGGTAAAGTGATCTGAGGGGAAGCATACTTGAATTTCTGGCTGTGCTTCTGACTACTGATACGATATGACCAGTTGCTTCAAGGCCAACCACGGTGACTTCCCTGCAGTGATGAACTGCCACCTGGAATTCTAAGCTAAAGCAAACCCTTCTGCCCCTAACTTGCTTTTGCCATTTTTTTTTTTTATCATAGCCACAGAAATGAAGCTACAGCCAGGGAGAAGTTTCCCAGTATTCTGCTGATACAACCAGTGGTTGGACTTTCGGGAAGAAATTGTCCTTACTTGGTTCTCTTTAGGTGCAAAATGATTTCTTCTCCATTTAGTATGATCTGATATTGAACTTCTGGTGCATATCTTTCCTGAAAGTAGTTAATAATATAGTTATAGCACATAGTTCTCAGCCAATTTAAAAATTATAACTATTATAATACACCGATTGTGTACACTATGCATTGCAATAGCAGAAATACAGAAATTGAAAGCATTTCACTCACATATTATCTCTTTCTTATATCTAAAATGTTATTTGCATGTTCATATGGATTTCATAAAAATATATTCACTTGAAAACCACACAGATTGATGAGGCTCTAATTGGTGACATAGAGACTTGCTGTCTGCCTTAATGCATAATATGCTGGACTGTGTACCAAAATAAATTACCAAGAGGATATAAAGGATCTATTTTGACTTTAAAATAAATAGAATATATATTTTAAAATGGTTTTTAAAATCCACTGAAAATCAAGAGATAAATATTACAGAATGAGAGACCATTGACAACACGGTAGACAGCCTTTACATTGTAGAAAAGTGTTATCCCTGGGGAAAGGAATGGATTAAGAGAAGACAGAAATGTGAAAGGCTAAAAAGAAGTAATGTTCCCCTCATGAACTAGCTTGCAATCCCTTCTCCTCCCACAGATTTGAGAAAACATCCAAACATCTTTACCTTTATTATCAAGCAAGGCAACTGATTCTCTGATAATAATTTATAACCAAATTCTGAGAAGTCCTGGGCTCTCTCCTCCACATGGTTAAGGACAGACTGCTGCTCAGGCCACAAGACCAGGGGTGCAAGGGGAATTGGGGGTGGGGGTAAGTGGGATGTTGGCAGGGGGGTGCTCTCTCATAGAGACTGACAGGCTTCTGGCTGAGAACACTGCCTGTGATGTTCTAGCTAGCTAAGAGACTTCCAGGTGTCTGGATTCCCCACAAAAGGAAATAAGTTTATGACTTGGGACACATTAAAGAGATTACAGTGGCCAAGCATACTGTTCCCCCAGCCTTTTCTCCTGCTTCTTGGGAATCAAAGAGTCTGGCTGCTTTGAACACCACAACTTCTTCAAAAATCTATTAGAGGGGACTTCCAAAGTTTCTTCTTGAACCCCTTGCCCTCTCAGAGGCCTACCATACTCTCTTGTGGTACTGAGGCACTAACTTTCTTTGGACATCTACCCACGCTGTTTTCTGCCTATTTGTTTGTGGGTTTAATAACCCTTCTAATAAGCTTCATACCCCAACAACACTTCTGTGTCTCCCTTGATCACCACATCCAAGAACTGTCAAAGCAAGAGCTGATAGCTGTACTCCAAGATGAAGCTGCTGGGGCTGATTGTGATATTACACTATCCCTGAAAGCCCTTCATCTTTGTCTTCAGATGACTATGAAACATCACTTACCTCTTTGCCATATCTCTCTGTCTGGTTGTTCTCAAGCCCTCTTCTTTGTGTAATGGGTAGTTTTTTAGGATGCACTATTTCATGAAGCTTTAATTCGGGAGTCAACGTTGTATCTATCACTAGAGAAAATCAGAAAACATTGATAAGAAACGTTTTGTCTTGTTTTGTTTGGCTGATTGCTATGTTGTATGGGCATGAATAAACATTCAGAACAAATTTTGTGACTGATTCAACTTTAATGACCTTTCTTTACAGTTTTACCCTCAAAACTGTAGATTCCACAGGACATAAAGATCTTATTGACTCTTTCTTAGAGAAACTTAAAGGAACATAGAACACATAGGGAAAATGTTTATAGGTAAAAGGTTCTTCTTAATGTACTTTAATTTAAACTGTGCCAGTGGATATTTCCTTTTGTACAAGTGGTAAAGAAAGAACTGACTCAGAGTCAAAAGATGTGGCTTGCAGTTCTAGCTAAAAGACCTAATAAACGTTCCTTTGTCTTCCTATCTTTTGTTGTCTAGCTCTGGTGGTATAAAAGCACAAACAAAAACTGTGTGAAACTCTGCAGCAGCATCATAGGAAAACAGAAACACATCTTTTCTGTATTTTGGAGTTTTGCAATTTTTTTCACATGAGGTCAGTCTCACTGTTGAATGCTGTTTCCACAGCTCCAAGATAGCTTCTTATTATGGCAATCAGAGTGCATTTGGGGTATGACTTAACTAAACTATCATGCAAATCACAGCCTTAACTGCCATTGCACAGTTCACAAGGAAGGACTAAAGAGACCTGAAGGATTCCATCAGTATGTAAGCGTATATGATTCAGTTACTGTCAGCGCTTTTCTACTTTACCATTCTTTGGGATCCTCACTAGTGATTAACAATATAAGAAACATATGAGACATGCAAGGGCTAAAGCCAGCCCTAGATAAGAACTTTTAGAGAGTATCATTGAACACACAGAGATTGTTTTGAGCTTATGCAAACCCTTAGCTGGATTATTCAAGTATTTCAGCAGGAGATTTACTAGTACATGTTTATGGATGGAAAGGTGCAGGCTCCCAGCATTTGACTTCTTAACATGATTATGATGCCATCCCTTGCAAAACAATCAGTGATGGCACCATCTGTGCACTTAGCTTCTCCATGGTGCAATAAGGGAGCAGATAAGGACTGTCAAGTCGTTGGGTCATCTCTCAGTAATCAGCTTAAAGGGAGAAAGTTACCTTTTCAGGACTTTTCTTTTGACTATATTCTACTACTAAAAATTATTCTCAGAAAAATATCTCAAAGTACCAATTCATAAACAGCCTTGATTAATGATTATATTAATACAATTTTACTTACAAGTATAATATAAATACAGCAGCAATCAATATTTATTTTATCTATTTTGAGAAGTATCATATAATAATAAAACACGATTTTTATTTAGTGAAGTATATGAAACTTGAAAAAATATTCAGTGAGCTTTAGAATTCATGTTTCATGTGTGATCTAAAAAATACCATCACATATATATGTGTATGTATAAACTATTATGCATGTATGTAAGCATATAGTTCAGTAGAAAAAGACACAGAAAATATATTGTGTAAACTATAGTGACCTTTACATTGTGAATGAAAACATTAATTTTTTATGGGTATATTCATCAGATAATCTAATTTTTTTCTGTAAGATGCATATACTTACCTTGGATTTGAATGATAAGCCACAGGGTAGAAAGCAGGACCCAAGACATGCTGGCTTCTGTGGGTAGCTGAGAAGTCACAGGCAGTATACAGCTATGGTCTCTCCAGTGGCCAATTTTATCTCCTTCCAGTTCTCTTTAGAAGTTGAGAAGGAACATAAAGTCTCAAATTTTACTTTCAAGTTAAGAGATGTTTCCTAATTGTCTTGCAGACTAGCCAATGAACTGCAGCATTGAAATCCTGAGAATGTTCCTCCCTTGAGAACAATGTTTATGTCTGTGCATCTGTGGGAAGGCTCATTAAGGGCTCACAGCTGGGCAGTTCCTTATCTTGAGTTCTACCCTGATAGGAATGTGAACTCAGGGGCCCATGCACTTACACATACATATACAAATGTATAAAGTGTCATTATTGTGCCCATATTTTAAGAAATGGGCACAGGATGCAGCTCATCTTTTTCTTTTATTTTATGTGTATGAGCACTTTGCCTGCATGTATTTCTGTGTAACACACACACACATACACACACACACACACACACATTTGGTGCTCACTAAGGTCACAAGAGGGTGTTGAGTCTCCAGAACCTGGAATAACAGATGGTTGTGAGCTGCCATGTGGGTGCTGGGAATCATTGAACTTGGGTCCTCTGGAAGAGCAGCCAGGACTTTTAAGAATGAGACATCTCCCCAATCCTAAGTGTGCCATTTTAAGAACATAACACCAAGCAAATTCTTACAAACTTGAAAAATAAAAACCTCTTTGTTTTTTAAATATAAAAGAAAATTCTGGTAATATCAGTTACAAAGATTTTTTAAAAGTTCATATGAGGTTATACAAACATGAAGGCATATGCACACACATACAGAACTGCAAAGAACCATAATATGTAAATACAATGTTAGCTTCAACCCAACAACATACATATGAACCTATTTGAAGTATACAATGAGCTCTGCTTCAGCCAAATAATACGCGTTTTTGATTACTCAAATGTTGTATTTTCATTTCTTAATCAGAAGCATAGAGAAGGATAAATAATCACCTGAGGGCCCCACAACAAAAAATGAGCTCTGTGGACATCTGTCCAGTGCATTTTCATTTGTCTTTCATGGAGTGATATAAAAAAGCGACTAGTAAAAGAACACCAGTCCCACTGCAGAAAAGTTTTAAGGCCTTTGAAATTTTTGTATAGCATTATAATATAAAAATCTTCATGATATTGAATAAGATGATACTTTAAGGACCTTTGAATATTTCCTTGTACACATGTTACATATAGCTCTGTGCATTGCTTCAATTCTTAGAATTAATCTCTAAAAATGGCAATACCTAGTTGAAAAGGACAAATCAATTAGAAGTTACTGTTTCAAAATGATTTGATGACTTTCAGGCAGTGGCAAACTAAACTTACTTTTGGAATTCTTCCCCAGCTTGCAAAGCTCCTAACTGCTGACCTGACTTAGATCTGTCTGCCCTTCATCCTTCTCTTGAACTGATGCTGTGCAAGCCCATGCATGTTTCTTTTGCTGGTCCAGATGATAGGCATCATACTTTTAGCCTTTTCCACTTGTTATTAAAATAGTGATAATATATAATAATTTGACTTTTAGCAGAAAATACTAAAAAGTTCCTGGAATGTCATAACACTTGTCAACTTCCTTGCATACTATTTTCAGGTGTTTTAGTATCAATGAACCCAAGAAAACAGATAAGGAAGTACATGGGATGGGTTGGATGAAGGAAAGGGGAAATGATATAATTATATTTTAATTTCAAAAGTTAGAAAATAAAAATACAACAGGACTAAAGATACTTCTCAAAAGAAAAACTAAGTCTGAGAAATATTTAGTTAATAAAGACTGGCAGACTGATTGACTGAAGCAGTAGGGCTACAATGGTCTAGAGTAGGTTCCAGTGCTCGTTCTTGAGGCCTTCATGGATTTTATAGCTGATAATTTCCCATTCAGTGGAATGATAAAAGTTGCAATTTTTCAACCCTCCAAAGACAGGAGAAGCCCCTCTTGGCATGGCCCTGAGAAGCACTTAATGAAGCACATATTTTGAAGGTAAAAGTTTGACAACATTCAATGAGCAGATACTCCATGTAAAGACTTTGACAGCAACTCTTAGGGACTGTGCAGATATTTACTAAATAGCTGAATATCAGTCTATAAATTACAGCTGTGGTAATAACAATGAGGAAATTGTTTACTAAATGCATCTGGAGGGGGGATGAGAAATGGCGTGTGTGCAGACTTCTTGTCGGATATGATTTTCAAGAGTCAACTAAACATAGACATTAACATATGACCATAGAATTAAGGAATTTTAAACACTATCCTGATTACAGAGAATTTTGTTCCAATAAAGCTTGCAAATTTTACAGATATTTCATAATAAAGTTTTTGGGTGGCTTGGGGTTGCTGCCTAAATACAATATAACAAGAAATAGATTCAGAATTTGTATATTCACAAAATTTACAGTGATTCTCTTGCATATTTAAAAACTTTCACCTACTATTAAAACTTTTCATTATAACAGTAGCTATGAAGTGTAAGTTCAAAGACCGTAATTCTCAAGTCAGTAAGAATTCTTACTCATAATTCTTAAGTCAGTAAGGTAGAGAAAAGGGTGTGCGGAATCAAAACCAAAGGGTAACAAATATTTGATAGTAGGCCATTTTCATGATGGCTTCAATTTGTCTCTATGATGTAGCTCATGCCAAGACTATTTGAGAATGCAGGAGTTACAGTGGCTGATAAGTTTGAGGTGGGAAGTGATGTCCTTTCTCTGAAGCAACTGCCCAGGAATTGATTTGTTCTTGTCTGAGTATGTCTAGTATATACTAGTATATCTCAGTATACTAGTCTTGGTTTTCATTTCCCTGTGGCTGACTAAACTGAACAATGTTACTTATCTGTGGGCCATTTGCCTGATTTCTTTTGAGAAGAATCTACTCAGATCATTTGTTCATTTTAACCAGGTTGAGGGTTTTTTGTTTTGTTTTTTGTTTTTGATTTTTGTTTAATTTTGAGCTCTGTGTATTAAGTTAATATCACCCTTTTGTCAGGTAGGTAGAAACCAAGTGTTGCCTCTCATGCTGCACTTTCTTTCTTTGTCCTGCTGATTGTTCCCTCCACTGTGCGGACTAGTGTTTGATGGCATCCCAGTCGGCTTGTTTTTTTGGGGAGGGGTGGGGGACGGTGTTTCCTGTACCGTTGGAGTCATATATTTAAAACAGAAATGACTGCTTATTTCAGTGTCTAAAGCATTTTATCTATATTTCTTCCTAGTAGTTTCAGAGTTTTCGGTGTTACATTTAGGTATTTTATCCTTTGCAGTTTGTTAGAGTACATGATGAGAGGTTGAGGTAAAATACTAATACTCTGATCCTGAATAATTAATGTTCTCAGCACCATTTACTGCAGATGTCATCTTCTCTGTGATTTAGTCTTATTTCACTTCTTAAGGGTCAGTTGGCTATGGAGGTGTAGGTTTATTTTGAGTGCCTCGATGCTTTTCCGATGATCTGAGTGTTTTTCTGAAACCTGCACCATGCTGCTTTGGTGATATGGCTCCTTTTAGCAGGTGGAGTTGGAATCACTCTCTGGTCATTACGCTTGACAGCAAGCCCATTACCCACTTAACAATCCCAGGGGTTTCATATTTCATATTTTTTATTTTGTATCTATATGTAGCTCACATATAATACAAGACTTCACCCTGCATTCATACCCTTGTTCTCCCTGAAGCCCTTCCTTCTAACCTGTAAACGTGTATTGTTCTTGCAGTAGTCAATGGCCATATATACCTATTAAGTAAAGGGCTTAAAATGAAACACAAATTAAATATTTCATTCTGTAGCTATAGAAACCACAGTTGAATGCTCAGCAGCCATTGATGATAGCTAGTGTGCAGCACAGTGGAGATGGAGAATGCGCAGATCTCTGGCATCATGGCAAACTCTGAAACATACAGCGAACCAAGGCTTCAGATCACCGCAGTTAGAAATATAGTTTCTGCTTTCATTTGGTCTTTGATCAGAGAACTTCATTTAGGACATATAAAATTTATCAAGGCATCTGATTATCCTGTGTCTTCTGCCTTTTACAGTATAATATGGGTTTATTGTTCTTACTTGTCAATTTATTCAGAAGACTTCCTATTGTTGTTTTATATACTTTTATTTATAAGATCTAATACAATATGCATATTATGTAAATACAGCATTGAAGGAATTCGGCAAAGACAAACATTCGGTATTGGTGCAATCCATCTGCTCTGGTGCGCTCCACCTATTCCTCTTTCCCCCTGTATCCTTCTCATTGTTCCTGCTCCCATGTTTCCTGGGTCCTACTGCCCAGCCCCACAGTATTCATCCTTTCCAGAAGTGCTGGGTTCTCCTTACATTTGCCTCCACTTAGATATTTTTAACTCTTTGGAGCCAGGATCTGTGTGTGAGAAAGGACATTTAATAATTGTCTTTCTGAGACCAGAATCCTTCACTTACTGCATAGAAGTTTAAACTTTGATGAAGTTAAATTTCCACAGCCTTATATGCCCCCAAAATTCTTTGCAAGCAACCTTCATATTCTCAAGAGTTTGATTAGATACAAAATCCTAACCTTTCAATTCTTTTCCTCCAAGACTTTAATAAACTTTCTACTTTTTGGAATAATATTAACTTCTTCATTAATATTGCAACTCCCACAAGCCATATGTTCCCCTAAACACTCTTTTTAATATTTTTTCTTTATTTTACTTCATTTTTATACTAATAGAATTTAAATTGACTTGGTAACAATAATATCCTGTATACTAATACATTATTTTATGCCTTTACTTAGAAGAAAATATTTTTGTCTTTTAATATTCAATATTCTATATTAAAAACTTTAAATGTCTTTTGGACTAATTAGTATTAGGTAAGGAGCCCTGATACAAAATATAAAATGCATTCAGCATTATGGCAAGGATTCTTCTTTAGGAAAAACTTATGTCAGGCTCCTGAGTATCTCCCTGACCCATCTCTGAATCTATTTATTTATATAAACTACCTTCCTAAAAGATCTCTCATCATTGATTCTTAGCAATCAAACATTCTTACTGTCAATTAGCATACCCCCTCAGT